TTTTCTAAATGCCTGGTTCTTTCGATTTTAAAATCAATTAGTGAAGTTCAGATGTTCCTCACCCCCGGGGCATGTTAATCCAGACTCCTGAGGCCAGGCCAACCACTGCGGCATATTACTGACCGTGTTGTGTTTGCACAACGGGACTTGCTGAGTGCGAGTAAGGTGTTGTTGCGTTTGAGGGGTTTGTTTTGGTTTGGGGGAGATTCTTTGTAATAAAAGAGTTTACATCATTTGGCTAATATGGAAACAAAATATAAGAGCAGTAATCTTAACAATTTAAGTTGCTAAAACTTAGAATAAAGAAAATATTTCTCAAGTCAAGCCACGAAGAATTGTGTGTACTGTAAATAGTAACCTTGCCTTATGGATCAGAAGTAAGCATGCTACTCTGGTCTCTTGATGAAAGGTAATGTAGAAATTGGCTTATGCACTGGTCACTCTTGATGTGCTCGACACTTAGAAGCACAGCAAGCAGTGTGTTGGCCTTACATTACTTGCAAGAAAAACAGAGAAGTCCTGAGATGCTCTCACACCGGACTTAAGTGAGCTTCAGAAAAGTAGATAGGAGCTTTCTGACAGAATGAAAATCAGATATGCAGATATATGTATATACACACTAAATGTTTCTGCCACTAGATGTCCCAGAGCTGTGTTGCAAGTCCAGCACAAGCCATGGTGCCCCCAAATTGCAAAGCTGGGATGCAAAATACATCGTGACTTGGTCTGCTGCTGTGATAGCTGCTAAGTGCAGTGTGATTGCTGAGGATTTCTGTAGTCCTTGCGGGATTAGGATTCATTGTTTTATATGGCTTCATATAAAGATACAGAGCCACTTAAGAAGAAAGTGCTTTTGAAATGGAAGCAGCAAGAAGGCTTGTTTATTGTTGGTTGGTCTAAAACCGAACATGTTCTTACTTTTTTCTTTTTTTTTTTTTTATTTTTTTCAAAAAAAAAAGGGTTGGGAGGAGGTTTGCATTCTTCCACTGGCAGGCACTGCAAAGCTCTTTCCCTACCACCCGGCTCCATTTTCTGGAATAGATGTTTGAGGAAAGTAGAGCATGTTTTTCATGCTCTTATCTTTTGGCTGTGGCTGTATTGGTTCTTCTGGAGTTCAGGATTTCTTATGCAATACATTGGTTTTATTATTTACTGTTTATTGCCCATGAATTTAGCAAATGTGATCACAGCTCTTGCATCTTGTCAGATCCTTGTGCGAGACAGGCCTGTGGTCAAGATCTTCTTTATTGCTGGAAGTTTTTGCAGTGTCCACTAGGTCTGGACTGTGCAGGCTCCAGTGTTAAAACGTGTGGAGTGTTTTTGGAGTCAAGCCCTGACTACTGTGGTTGGATAGTTACAAAAATCTAACTATGGAAGAAGGCAACTTTGAGGCACTAGTGTGGCCTCCTTCACTCTATGCAGCTGCGGTCTGGGCAGGTACTAAGGCAGCTCTTGTCTGTTAGTGGCTTCAGTGATTAATTGAAATCAACAAGGTGGGGAGTGTGCGACAGGAATACATTGCTTGTATTTTCCATTAGGGATGCGGCAGAGAGAAACACGCTGTGTTCTCTCTACTGGCATGTGCATGCACACCTAGGCCTGCAGACCTGGAGAAAGCAGCCTCTTGGTACATGGGAAGTGTTGGGAGCTTCCAGAGGGGGAATTTAATCCAATCTTTTCCAGTATGGAGAGAAATTGTAGTTAGCAGTTGGAGCCCAGGCTTCCTCTTTTTTACCTCTTGTGCTGAGCAGGTGGCTGTTGCGTTGGTTTGGTGTCACGAATGGACTTACTCAGTGAATGTCCTTTGAGGCAAGAGCTCAGTGTATCTCTACACGATCTCTGCTTGCAAAGGAGCTGGAATAATGAGATTGCAGCCTGAGCTTGTCAAGATTGCTGACTCAAGCCAGGTACTGTCACAGCCACAGCTTTGCTGGCTGTGTTGGAGCACGTCTTGGATCCCCTTTTGTTATGTTTTCTCCTGAAAGTGAAAGATGGTGAAGGATAAACGTCTGCAGCATGCTAAGAACAAGTACTTGGGTGCTCTTGTTGGCTTCTGTGTCACTGCAACTGAGCCCTTCAAAGCGCTTAAGTAATTTCATTACTTGTTATTTCAGTTGGATCTTGTTGTCTGTTCCTGAATTATTTACTTATCGTATAGATGTGAATGTTTGCTTTAGAGCCAACTGCTGTGTGTGTGTGTAACATTGTGATGTGTGTCAGTGGCGTAGATATACTTTCCTTTTATCAGCGCATACATAATATGTATGAGACTCCAGTGTCATCTTGTGTATGTTCAGCTGCAGGAGTCTTCGTCTGTTGCTGAGGGCACATTAGCAATGACCCTCACCTGGATGTGATGAGACCCAGGTGATGTGAGTTCTGTTTCATTGCAAAACACCTGGGGTTGTCCAAGATCAAAGTTTAAATAAGATGCAAACCATAATCACCTGGCTGCAAACCTCTGTGTTGCTCTTGAGAAGACATTTAAAACACCTTTGCAAACTCAGCTGGAGTCTTCAGCTGAGTTTCCAGAGTGAAGGGGAGACATTTTTTTCCCTGTTTTTATAATTATGTATAAATATATATATGTACTGAAAAATACTTGGTTATTGACATATTCTGTCTAGAAGAATTCACTTAGTTGTAAAGTGCTGTCTCTTTAAGAATTTAATGTAGTTGAAGGTTGTAGAAATCTCTTTAGCAAAGAGGGAACATGTTTGAGTGTCTGGAGAGTGACAGAACCAGTGACAGAACTGAGAATTAGAGTCAAGACCCTTGGCCGGATTCTGGGAATCCCTCCCATAGGCACTTGGCTGTTGCTATTGAAGTGCTTGGGATGAACAGACCTCTTTCTAGCATCCTCTAGATTCTTCTCTATTAATCTCTGTATGTTTTTTTTACATCTTCATGTTTCAGGCTGCTTTTCACTTGCTTAGAATGCTACACACTCCCCACTTCGAGATTTGCACCTTGCAGAATATTCTTATTTGTATTCCCACACACTTTGATTCATTAATTGAAGTTACCAGCTGTTGCCCCCCTTTTTTCTTTCTCTGCTTGTGCTCCTTTTCTTCCTCACTGCAATGGTATAAACTGAGAATTTGGTGTTTTATCCAAACCACCAAATACTGACTCAGTAGCATAAGTAGGAAGAGATAATGTACTTACAGAATGTACATGGATGCTTTTTTTTTTTTCTCCAATGCAGGAGTATAATGTTTGCACCATAATGCTTCCAAAGCAGGTAAAGTAGGTGCTCTCTATGACCTGAGTTCTTGCATAGTTGCCCAGTTCTATTGCTCAGGGCTTTTTGGAACCCATTGGATGTGCAGGTGACATCAAAGGCTGTTGAAGGAAATGTATTTTTCATATGCTTGCTCCCTGCCCTTACAGCTGTGCTGCAAACACTTGATGGAAAGGGAATAAGAGATGTTCTGCTGTGATGTTCTCAGATATCGATTCCTTTTTCTTTTTTTCCTCTTAAAATTCTGTTTACAAATTCCTTTGCTTTAATTATTTGTTTCCATCTGAAAACAACAGAGAGTTACCCTGGAGGAGGCCCGATTGGCAAGCCTTGTTCTTAAGTATTTGTAACTAATCCTTTTGCATTTTCCCAGAAAATATCCCTGGAGGATTGCAAAGAACTTTGTAAGTAGTAATTGATCCCCCTTAAACTTGTAGAATAGAGGCTTACTTGAGAATTTGTGAAATCTGGGTAGAGTGAATTTAGTAGGTTGGTGAAGTGTAAAGCACAAATGGGAATGGAACTGCACAATTCTCTTAACGGTCTCTTCCTCTGACTATAAAACAGCGTTCACCCCCAGAAGGCTGGAGATGGAGAACACTGGCAGTAGCTACGGCTTTCATGCACTGGTGTGACACTGGAATGTGTTGGCTAGGAGAACACCAAGGTAATGCTCCTGGAAGGCAGCGATAAAAACGGTGCATTTGCTCTCAACTGCAGTGCTGTAGGAAGCTCTCAAGTGCTTGGCTAGTGCCAAATCTCTCCCCCCCGCCCCTTTCTGTGATATTTCCTCCACTTCTACTGCAGTTGCTGAGCTCTGTAGAAGCACTGATGTACCACACAGTGAATTTGCTTCCAGAATATTTTGATTACTTTCCCATGCTCAGTACATGTGTTTTCCATCGCAGGCATTGCTTGGTTATTGCTGAAGGAGCTGCATGACTGTAGTTCAGAGCAAATGTGACGTTGGGATGAATCCACCTCAAATTCTAATGCTTAGGCAGGACTAAAGCACAGAAAGCTGTGTTTATTATTATTTTTTTAAATGTTAAGTGGCCTTATTTTAGTACTTTTAGAAGAAACTTGATATTTCATGTCAAACGCTTGAGGCTTTCTTGTGTCCCTCTCCTGGGAAGCGCCCAATAGTTCCCGCAGCGTTAGGGGTTTGCCCGGCGGGATGCGGTGCCCGCGGGCACGGGGCCTGTGGTGGCGCTGAGCAGCCCGGGCCGCGTGCTCGTGGGTGTGCGCCAGGTGCCTCAGCCCCGGAGAAAATCAAAATGTTTGCACAGCGTTGGATCGCAGGGGGAAACAGTGACACGCCTGGCAACAAGGAGAATTTTTGCTCCCAGCGCCCTGCAGTATTAGTCGGCATCGCGTCCAAGGTGCGTGTTTTGGGTAGCTCCAGTACTTGAGTTGGGGCAGGGAGGGCAGCCCCCGGCCGTGCTCCCCCTTGCCGGCTGTGAGGGCAGCCCCGGGGTCGCCTCTTGCCGCACGAACCCCGCGTTCGCCTTAAGGACCTGAAGCGCCGGGGGGCCCCGCGCGGCGGCAGCGCCCGCCCCGCGCGCGCCCAATTGGCCGCGGGGAGGGGCGGCTCGTCGGGCCCCGCGCCGCCGCCCCCCGCATCCAGCGGCGGCGGGGACAGGAGGAGGAGGAGGAGAACATGGACTAGCGCGCCCTGCGCTGCACAGCCGGGCGCGCGCGGGCATTGGCATCCTCTTCTCGCCCCGGCCAAGGGGAGAGGAGCTGCGCGGCCAGCATGGGCGAAGGGGCTGCGGGGCGAAGCTGCCCCCCGCGCCGGAGGCGGCTCCCGCTGCTGCTGCTGGGGCTCTGCGGCTGGACAGCCGCGCTGCGAGGTAAGCGCGGCCGCCGCGAGCCCACAGGTTGCTCCGCGGCTCTGGGCGACCCCGTGGGGGCCCTTTCCACGGGGTCCTTAGCGGGAGGAGGAGGACGCGGCAGTGGGGGAAAGCAGGCTTGGCCGCAGGAGTTAATGCGAGGAGGGCGTCCTGCAAGGGGGGCTGCGGCTCTCTGGAGTTGGAGTGCTCAGAGTGCAGGGAATTGAGCCCGCGGCTGCTGCCCAAGGGGCATGGGGAGCTCTGGGCGCATCCCTGAGGATCCGGCACAAGCACCAGTCCTTTGGACATCACCTCTTGGAGATAGCTGAGTTACTAATGGTGGGGTTGGGGAGATCAGTGACTTCTTCTGGCAGTGACAAGTGTCTGAGGTGGATATCCCCTCTCCGTGCATGGCCATGTATCGTTAATGCGTGTGGGTTAACGTTGAAGATGCTTCAAATCCTGCATTTTATTTTTAACTTTTTTTTTTTCCTGGTAAATTGCTAAAATGAAATATTCACTTAAAAACCCCTCAGGGGTTTCAACAGCTGCTCTTTGCCTTGCACCCTTGGCGTCTTGACTGGTGGAGCCGCGCTCCGAAGGGCTCAGTGTGTGGATGGACTGAAAGGGGCAGCAGGAGCAGCGCGCCGTTAGAGAACGGCGTCTGCTCTCCACAGCACCTACATTCCATGTTTGTAGTCTGCATTGATGTGCTCCCTAGGAGCAGCTGATTTTTCCAGATCATAGGAATCTCTCCATCAGCCTGTGTAGGTTCTGAAAGATTCCCTTTGGCATCTGCTCTCACAGCTCTCTTGCATGTCTGTTGTGGCCAGCTTTCCTTCCTTGGTACTTTATTGGTTTTAAGCTTTGTGTAGGAAGTCACTGATGCTTTGGAAAAAATCTGTGGTTTTTTTTTTTTTTTTAAGTGAATGAAATGATGAGAATATAATGGAGTAAATTGTTCTTTATTCATACATAACTATATGGGAGATGTATATTTGCTATTTCTTCCATTAAAATATGATGCTGGCTGCAGAGGAGTGTGTTTGCATTTAAAACAGTAGCACAGGGTGCTGCTTTGGCTTTGTTTTACACGTTTGAACTCTTACGACAATTCCTGCACTGTGTTAAATAAAATAAGCATCAGGCCCTATAAATAGGTGAAATTTTACCCTACAAGTTTTACGCAGCCGGGCAGCTATTCTACTGTTAAGAAACATATTTGAGCTGCTTAATTAAAATATACCGTGCGGATCATTTGAGGTTCTTGCCTGGAGTAGAGTTATTCTGAGCATTTTTAGGAGGAGTAATGGGATGTTTTCAGACCTGGTGACTTGGCTGTTGTCTCTTGGCTGTGGTGTTGCTTGGTGTTACCTTGTAGTCTTAGCTGAAGCAGTTAACCTCGGTTACTGACCCTTTGCGCTGTAAGATTATGGTTTATGAAGTTGTCTTGAAAACTGCCTCTGAAAGCAACTATGTTCCAGGATTCCTTTCTGAATAGGGTGTAAAGAAAAAGGAAAGGGTTGTGATTAACCTTCATATTACTTTTTAGATCTATTGGCAAAAATACACATACAGTTTGGGACTTGGAGCAAACCTTGCATAGATGTAGCATTTGGGGAATAAGAAAGTCACTAATATTTATCATTTGATACATTTTGAGTTGCATGAATGTGATGAAAGGTGCCTGTTAAATATGAATGTTACTGTTTTTCTGTGTGCTGATATTAAAGCCTGCAGCTACATATTGTGTGCTGTTTCTAGATGTGGGTACATTTTGTTTGAATTAAACATCATTTGGGGGTTTTCCTTTTCCTGTTCCGATAGTACCTATGCATTTACAGTACGGCATGGTAACCACTGGATATTGCCTCTGTTTTTATTATGATAAAATGCTCCGCTAAGCCACCTAATGGAATAGGGCTGGGTCTGTGAACAACAAGCTCTTAAGGAAAATAGCTTCTTCCAATCTAAAAGCTTTTATTTTTCTTTTATTTGTAATTTATTCTTTTAAGATAAAAAGCTCTGAAATACGCAGTATGGACAGCTGCATATTTAAGACATTATCCTTGTTCCCTAGAACAAGGCAAGCAAATGATCCTTGTTCCCTAGAACAAGGCAAGGCAAACCAGTTTCTGGACAACAGAGCCCTTGGGAGAAATAGTAGTGTATTTTAAGAAGATAAAAGTAGCTAATTCCTTTGATACAGGATTACATCTTGTGTGTAGGTAGGATGGATAAGCAAGTTATTGGAGTCCTAATGGCACCTTTTGCTTTGCATTTAGCGCTATCCTTGCACATATTAGTTGAGCCTCCATTTATTTCCTTATATTTTATTTCCTTGGAATTTCATTTGTATATCTGATTTCTGTCTAGACTTGCAAGGTATTTCATGGTCAGTGCCTTGGAGTACAGTACCTGTACAGGAGCTATTGCTCATGCTTTAAGAAATATAGCTGAACACTAAATTAATGGAGTGAGGTTTTTCAGGTGTCGTGATTTTTTTACATCAGAAAGGATATTCATTATTTCTGTTGTTTTACTAGATTGTCTCAGGTTCTGTTTCTCTGTTCCTGATGCCCGGCTGGGAGTAAAGTTGTTTTATTATTTGTAAAAAAAAACCTCATCACTTTACTACTTGAAACTGCAGGATAAATACTTCTGACTTGCTAAGTCTATTTGAATATACACAGTGTCAGCATATTGATTAATTTGATCTTAAACTATGTATGCCATTAACATATTGATTAGATGTAGACTTGAAATATTTTTAACAGGTGATGCAGGAGTAAATAAACATTAAGGAAAGGTATGAACTGTATTTATGGTTCACTGGTGTAGCTTTGTTCAGATCCATTCAGATGTGTGTTTTTGTTAGGACGCAGCATTCATTAAAATAACAAAACACAAGCTCTTCTTTGGATTATTCATTCTCGTACAGTGCAGTGTATTGATGTCATATATTTCTCAGGTAATATTTATATAACTTCATAAAGGCTCAGAAAATAAACTCTCTGGTTTATAGTTCATCATTCCTCTCAAACCTGAAGAATGCTACTAGCTTGACTTGCTTGTGATAGGGCATTGCTTTTGTCTTCGTACATGGAGAATTGAAGGTTGAGAAAGAGGACAATTAACTTGGCTAAAGGCGCAGTGTTGGGGACTCAGTGTTTCAAAACCTGGTGCACAGACTGGGGACAGATGGAGCATCTCTGTGTGTGTGTATGTACGTTTACCTTTAAGTCGTTGCTTTCGTAGTCCTCCTGAAATGTTTGTTCATCTGTGGCCATGGTGGTGGTGTGTTGCAACATAGTCTGTGAGCTAGCTCACAGAAGGAGCGAGTGGGAAAGCCTGAACATTCCTGTTGAGTACAAGACTGACTTGGGACGTGATTATATTTCGATTTTGTCTGTTATAGAACACTGGTCCTAATGGTGATGCTTTGTTTTGCACTCCAGTAGTGCTCGAGTATATTGCCGCCTCACACATGAGAGAGTGCACCTTGCATTTCTGGCACACAACAGATCCCGCTGGCAGCAAGTATGCCTTGTGTGATTTAAACACAAAATCCAAGAGCTCTGTGTGATCCTGTCATGGGAGTGAGACGTGCACAGCCTCTGTCATTTGCTTGCCTTCTAATGCATACATTTCTGAAAATATTTCAGTCCTGGAATGACAGGATAATTCTGCCTTTAATGGAGTGTGTTGCAGGAATATTTTTTTTTTCCTTGACTTATTCTTCATAAGCATCTGCTTGAGAAATGTGTAATTCTGGCCTTTTCAGATGTAGGGAACAGTGCTTGAGCTGTATGGGGGTGTAGTGAGCTTTCCATGCTACCAAAGAAAACAAACGTGCAGTAAAGGGACAGGGTATCAAGATGAAAATTCAGTGCAGAATAGAAGCTAATCTGAGGATACTTTCCTAGGGCATTACAGAGAGCAAGCACTAATAGCATGATATATGATAAGATGGAAAATTACTTACGTGCAAAGGATCCCGCAATGTCCCTTTTCTGTATTTTTAGTCCTGCTTTCTGGTGAAAGGTGGAGCCTGAGAAAAAGAGCAGAGTCTGAGAAGAAACACCAGAGGCTGCTGTTTCAGTTTGCTAGATGTTGCTGTTGCCGTAGAGCGGATGGTTGGATTCATTTGTATAAAATGGAGAAGTGTTTAATCTTCTGCTTTTAAAGAACATCAGTTTTCAAGTTGCATTGTGTCCTTACTGCATTATTTTTTGTAAATATACCTTTTCTGTATGCAGTTGTATCTCCCAGAAAATACGTTTCAGTAGAGACACTACCTTAAGTGGAAGTGCAGGGCAGTCTGGCATGAAGCTCTAGCAGCCAGTCTGCGGATGCAGCAGCCCAGTTTCTGTCCTGGCTCTATTGGACAGAAGCCCAGTAGTACAGAAAAACTACAGTTTTTCTGTAGTTGCACCTTATTGAATGCATCTAGGAGTAAAAAGTGAGCTCAAATGAGAAAGGAAGTAGTGTAATTGAGTGTGTTTGTGTGTGTGTGTTGTTATTAGTATTATTATTATTAATGCTTGTTTTGAAGAAACAGTAAGAATAGTTTTTAAAACTAGCTTTTGACTTTTTTTTACCTGATGAAGAATGAAAGCTCTTTCTAGTGGTTGAGATTTAGATCACTGCTTTTTGCCTGAATGTGAAATTAAACTAATATTAATATGCCCCAATGTCTAACTTTGCCAGTTGATGAGAGTTTTAGCACCAGAATGCTCAAACAAAATGTTCTGTTTTTTCTTCTGCGTGACTTGGTACAAATGAAAAAGAAATGTTATACATATTGCTTATTTGTAAATGATTAAAGAAAATATAATATTACTTGTTTCCTACTTGGATATGCCTTTTTTTTTTTCCTCTCTTTTCTCCACCTCAGTAGAAGAGGCTTTTGGGGTCTGAAACTTCCTCTGTGAGCATTTCTGCATGTATAATTGAATTACTTGGATCCTGGCAGAGAATGAGCATAAAAGGAACGAACATGGAGGTTTTTTATAAATTGT